ATCTTTTATTAATAAGCGATAAAAAATACATTATTGAATATAATACTCTGCCATGCTTAATTTACTTGATCTTATTCTACCAGAATTAATACCATTTATTACGAAGTATCTTCCGATTCAAGATCTTAAAAATTGCTATAGTCTAGATGAAATATGGAAAACTGAAGCTATTAGAGAAATTCGCAAAAGATTAATAGTGGACTGCTCATTCATTGATAGTAAAACAACTGTTAAAGCATTTATTGATCCCAAATCCCAGTATAATAGTATCAGTAAAGCACTTGCACGAAAAATGGATTTATATATAACAAGGATGGATGGATCTAAATATCTAGCGGTAGAAGCTCTTGGTGTTGGTGTGACAAATGCTGGTAAGAAAGTGATAGTAGGGGGTGGCTTCATGATGAAGAAGTTTCTATTTCTTTACCCAATATCTTCGACGTGAGCTAGCCTTTGGCCAATTTTGGATCATCCTCATATTTAGGAAATTCATATAAACATTTCTTAGTTGTTGACAAGCCCGAAGATGATTTGGTTTTAGGAAGCACATGGCTAACGAGGTTGGGAAATAGGATTGATGGACGTGATGGGAGATATTGGGAATCTAATGAGGAAAAAAGGATATATTACGCAAGAAATAGTATTGATATTCTGTCTCCTTCATTATATACATTCTACGAATTATTATTTCCTAAATTTTCTGCAATTAATTCAGATGGGGAAGTTATATTAATCGAGTTTTCTGACCAAAATATGGAGAATAACCTTATTGATCTAAATGAATATTACGATTCAGATTATTCTGAGACGGAGTCCGAATTTAGTGATTCTGAAACAGAGTTTGAATCTAGTGATTCTGAAGCAGTGGATGTACCTCTCCTGGTTATAAGTAGAATGATACAAGATAATAGTGGAGCTAGTGTCGAGACACATAATATCGATTTTATTCCTAATCATTCATCGTGGGTTATAAACAATTGCACCCACTAGCAGGAAATGGATAATTAATTGTTAGTTATTTTTTCGGTCAAATATGTATCACATAATATAATGTACCATGAAAATAGTTAAAGCTAAAGTAGGATCGCAGAAAATTAATTGTCGCCTCAAACCAGGATTTCTCGGACTATCAATATGTACTGATAAGCTCCTCAAGAAAATAGGTGGTAAAATTAGCAGAAAATTAACACTCGATGAAAAAGATAGCAAATTCATCAGAGAAGAAGCCACAGCTCCACTTGGATTGGCCATAATCCCACTTACATTTACATCTAATATAAAAGATAATATCCGTCTTAATAATAAAAAATCTATCACGATTCCAACTGAAGTACTGGTTAATACTGTAGATTCCCGAAAATAAGCTACCTTTTTTTAGCCGATTTTAAATTAAAAAAATCAGAAGTAGCTTATTTTCGGGATATAGAAGTTTTTAAGCAATTTATGCTTAACGA